GCTGGCCCTTAATAGTATTTTCTTGATGGTTATGTTGGAGCTACTTGTTTCAGATGCTTAGGTTACTGCTAAGAACACAAGTTTTCCTCAGACAAAAGTTCTTTGACTTTGTTTTTCTGTCAATACATACTTGGATATTTGTCACATATAAGGCATATATTGTGTGGCTGCAAAGTAGTATAACCACCCTAGCCCTCAAGCTAAATTTACATTTTAGTTAGAAATAAAACTTTAAAAAAATAATAATGTGAGCTCTGCAAGTGAAGAAAGTAAAAATAAAATAAATACTAAGAGTTATAAATGTCAGGTGAAATTACGTGTATTCTGTGCTGTAGTTCAAGAGAGTGAGAAATTGATTTGTGCTGGAAAATTTGGGAAGGGCTTTAGAAGTGATAGAACTTGAGTGTGAGTCTTTCATTTCTAGTAGTTCTGCTACATTCTTTTTTAAGGTATTAATCTCTTTGTAAATTTTCTCCTCCATATTCTGGATATCTTTTCTTCTTTCCTTGTGTTCTCTAATTGAGTCTTTTATTTCTTCAAGCTTTCTTAAGATCATTGCTCAGAATTCTTTTTCAGACATTTCAAGGATTCCAAAAAAAATAATAATGTGAGCTCTGCAAGTGAAGAAAGTAAAAATAAAATAAATACTAAGAGTTATAAATGTCAGGTGAAATTACATGTATTCTGTGCTGTAGTTCAAGAGAGTGAGAAATTGATTTGTGCTGGAAAATTTAGGAAGGGCTTTAGAAGTGATAGAACTTGAGTGTGAGTCTTTCATTTCTAGTAGTTCTGCTACATTCTTTTTTAAGGTATTAATCTCCTTGTAAATTTCCTCCTCCATATTCTGGATATCTTTTCTTGTTTCCTTGTGTTCTCTAATTGAGTCTTTTATTTCTTCAAGCTTTCTTAAGATCATTGCTCAGAATTCTTTTTCAGACATTTCAAGGATTCCCTGTTCTATGGGGTCTGGAATTTGAGCATTACTATATTCCTTTGGTGGTGTCATATCTTCTTGTTTGTATATAGTTCTAGTGTTTTTTCATTGATGTTTGGTCATCTGGTAGAGGAATTGCTCTTCTATTACACTGAGGTTGCCTGTGGAGTGGCCCTGGTTGCTACTGTGGTCTCTTCTGTTACTCTGGGGTTGGCTATGAGGATAAAGACTTCCTCCTCTATTTGCAGGATCTACTGATGACTCTTCTTATATCAGTGTAGTCAAGTGAGTGGCAGGTTGCCTGTAGAGTGGTTGCCTGTAGAGTNCAATAACCAATTCAGTTGAGAACTGTTGATGCCTTGGACCACTTGTGAGAACTGGTTGGATTCTAGATATGAAGGTAGAGCTAACAGGATTTGCAGGTGGGTTGGATATTGGGTTTGAGAGACAAAGTCAAAGATGACTCCAAGGCTTTTGGTTTGAGCAATTAGAAGAGTGGAGTTGCCTTGATGGAAGGGTGGTCTTTTCAAATTATAAATGTCAGAGTGATGTGATCCAAATGTCTTAGGTTACGGCTTTCTCTGGGAACATACAAGGCCAAAGAACATGCACAATTATTCCTTTGGCAGAATTGTCTGAAGGATGTATTGTCTGTTCTGTGTCAGCTAGTGATAACAATTTTAAAGTCCCTGGATATTTATGCAGAGAATTCTGAAGACCTCACATAGTACTGTATCATTTGTCTCCAGGATATCTGAAATTTTTGCTCGTGTTCACAGCTATCTTATGCTAACCACGATGTTCTGTTAGTCTTAGTTGAAGCCAGGCATCTTTTTGAATAAAATTGATAAACCTAGCATTAATAACAGCGTTTGACACCAAGATCAAGGGTTCAGATCCCCTTACCAGCCAGCCACAAACAAAACCAAAGACAAAAACCAGGGTTTGAAGTTTCCAGTATTATATCTAAATAGGTTTAACACTGTCAGCAGGGTTGGCCAGTTAGTTCAGTTGTTTAGAGCACCACCTTGTAACACCAAGGTCAAGGGTTGAGATCCCCTTACCATCAAACAAAAACAAAATAATACTGTCAACAACAGTGTGTGTGGGAGGATTTCAAAGGAGAATGGGAGTGTACTGTGTTTATATTGCTAAAAACTTGAACTAAACTAATTAAAGTAAAATACTAAGAGAAAATGGTATTTTATTCTTACTCATATATTTGACTCTTGCTCACACTTTACTAGGCACTCATCAAAATGTAGCAGTTACTTCAGCTAAAGAAAAACCATCCACCAAAGCAACAGAAAAAGTATTTAAGCAGCAAGCGGTTCCCTCTGCATCTGCTGAGACATCTGTTTCTCCCTTCAGCATGGCACAAGCAGCGCCACTCAACTGTAGCTCACAAACTGTGGCCCAGGTACGTTTATC